AGCAGCCCACAACACCCCATCGTTAAATGTTACCAAAAGATCAGAAAGACCTTGTGACCAGAAGATCAGAAAGACCTGAAGATCTGGTCAGCACATTAGCCCATAACTATTCCTTCAGTTAGTACTTCCACCACCACCGGACCTTGCAAGAGGCCTGCACAGGAGATTCCTTCACATGTAATGGTAAAAATACAAAAGCAAAAGGAAACATCCCACCAGGGAAGCTGCCCAGACACCCACTGCAGAAGATCACTGCAGGTAAGTTTTCTATTGTTCGTCTGCTGAAAGCACCTCCTGCCACCGTCCCTGCGCCCCACAAGTCTTGAAAGATCCAACTGCAGCAACCTGGCTCTTCTAAAAATCTTTCCCTCCTCCCTGCCCAAAGGCTCATACTGTTGGAGAATTCACCAGTCGATTCAGCTCGCTGCAGCACAAAGACAGGGAGAAATACCCCTGGAGCCCTGCCGATGCCTACAGGGAAACACAGCAGCCGCAGTGCTGCGGGAGCTCAGGGAAGAGCTGGAGTTCAGCAGCAGACTGACAACACGCGTATGTAACCACCAGGGCCAGCTTCTCAGAGAAGACACCTGTCCACTGTTTACTGTACTCCTTCCTGAGACTTTTCTTTCCTGGCAAGCAGATTCAATCCCAGACTATATTTAGATGTGGTTACAGCAAAATGAAGTTTCAAACTGAATTTGGCTACTGGTTTGCAGGTTCAGTCCTAGAGCCTTCGCCTTGGCCATGCCCCTGAAGCCAGTGGCATCACACTGTGCCTAACAGCTCACAACAGAACTTCCCAATTTTTCAACTAATACCCATCTCCCTCTTAAAAAAAAAAAAAAAAAAAAAAAAAAAAAAGCCACTTCCCTTAGCTTCTCTTTGCTATTATGGATGACTCTCCTTGGACATTTTTTTCCTTCATTTGTACTTCCAATACCACTTCTGATTTTTGCCTAGCAGGCGATAAGCTTCTTGGAGCCTTCCAATGCTTTCCAAATGAGAACTGCAAATCCTCATTTCACTAACCTGCTGAATGAAGTGGGAAATCTAGCTGTTGCCGTCTTCTCCATAATGTCTGAGGCAGACCTGCAACTGTGCTACCTCTCAGCATTATCGATTTAAAGCCTTTATGCCCAACCATAGAGAGAAGCATGCCACTAACGAGAAGGGAACTAAGCAAGAACCTGGAGGAACTGGAAGGCAGGAGGACACAAAATGATGCATCTTTTCCATCTTATTGCATCTTCTTGTATCATAGTAATTACAAGGCCAAAGAACAAATCAACTTTGAGGTATCTAAGTGCATATGGCTCCCCTCAAAGTTGGCATAAAGTCTTCCTAAGTGAAAGGAAATATCAAAGAGTGCCTTACAGAATGTCTTACACACCAGGCCAGCATGAGGCTGTTCCTGATGAGCCTCTGTACACTGTCAAAGTTCATCTTGTGTTAAGTACTTTTGTACAAAGACTAATTGAGGTGCTATTATTACCAAAAATTATGTTGCTGGTATTTTATTCTAAGTCTAATTTTTTTTCAATTCTTTAAAACTCCAATCTTATGTAAAGAAATTAACTTTTAGGTTCAACTAGCTTTATTTCATTTGTTAACACGTAAAGGGCACGACAGGTATTGACCATCTCAAATCAATGGACTGAAATTGCTACACTGGCTCTTTGGTGAAAGGGTGATTAGAGTGCTAATTGCTATACGAGGAGATGATACTCAAAAACCTTTGCGAGAGAGCATGGATTCTACTCGGGAACCACATAAATAACAGCCTTGAGGACTACCTTAACCAGACCTGCAGTATTTCCCAGAGGAAGAGGTGTGAAACATCTCTGGCTGCACATACCTCTCAGATTGGACCTCTCACATCCAACAGTAAGACTCTGATTCACTGAAGTCAACAGGTTGTGTGGGTGTAGAAGCCCATCTGGAATGATCCACCTTGTAAAGCTAAGACCAAGACCCGTAACTGCTTGGTAGGCTGTAACCATGAAATCGGCGGCAGTGAAAAACCGGGAGGTGAACCAGGAAAAGGCAAGAGTGGTGGCCCACTTCAGAACTCTGTGTCAGACAGGACAGAGGGATTCCTATTTCAAATGTATACAAACCGAAGTTTATTTTTAAAAGTGCAGCTTTATTGCAAACTTAGTTTGCTCATTGAAAAATGTTATGTAGTCACTTTTCAGGGAAGAGTCATCAAGGGATATACAAAAATTGAAGTCTAAGCAGGGGAAGAGAGTTGATATCCTAGGCTGCCTTAAAGGAATGCAGGTACATAACAGCCATTGATTTCAAATGGGAATTATGGACATGCATCGCTTTGACAGCTTTTGAAATTCCCTGTCTAAATCAATGCTCAGATTAGGAGCTGGGTTCTGCTCTGAGTTAGACCAGTACAAACTCACAGTGACCTTAAGACCAAAGAGCTCCTCCATAATTTATACCAATGCGAGCAAGCAGAACTTGGCTCTCAGTTCCTCTCCTCCCTTCCCCCCTCGGCATTTCCTAAGAAAGAGAAATGTGATGTGGGGCAAATATACTCTGCGCTAGCTGCAGCTTCATTAAAGAGTTTGATGGGCATAAGAACAATTTCAAGACCAAAGTCCTGAAACCAATTTACAGAAATTAACATCCTCTAAAATGACATGAATACACAAGCAGATTAAAGAATTAACCATTTGGTATACTAGTTCTCCACTCTTTTTCAGCCAGTCATCCGAACACATTGAAGAAGGTATACGGACACAACGAAAATCATTTGCAAATCAAACAGTTGTCTCCTCAACAAAGTATGGGGAACATAATACAAAAATAAATAAATGCCTTGTCAGATTTGCCTCATTTCACAATACCACTGGGCATTCCTCAATCAGCAGGACAATCACAAGCAGGGTTTCATAGGCTTCAATTCAACTTTTTACATGATTTAAAAACATTTAAATGTTACAAACATATTTAAATCACCACTTAAAAATACTCGGCTTATATTATTAAGATCTATTTTAGCAAGTATGAAATAAGGACTTCATAACAACAGAAGCATGAAAATAATTTTTTGTTTCCTCCACCCACATACACTTGCAATTTCAGAAAAGGACATATGCATCATCCATACTCCTTTATATTTAAGGAGAACAAATCTTTCAAGAAAAGAGGGATAGTATGATTGCTACGATAGTACGAAGACACAAGACCTATCCCATTTAAATTCTGTTCCTTAGCAAGATGGAAGGAGAGGTTTGGGTCAGAGATTTTGGTGTGGGCCTGACTGCTAACAAAATGAATTTCTATAGCAACTAAACTTCATTCAATGATCCCTTGCTCAAACAATTTAGTAGGCCTCCCTATTACATGTGCTTGGTATTTCTTAATTTCCTGAATTAGACTAGAATTCATGCAGGTAGGACGTTTTACTGTAAGGTAGAATGAAATCTGTCTTCTACAGTAAGAGACTGAAATGTGGGATTTTCTATTCTCTCTCATCTGCATCTCAGAAACAAATGAAGAAGAGTAGAGACTTGTTATATTAAGTAGGAGCTACTTTTACAGTCAAAGTCAGAGTACAGTAGCAAGTTTGAGCCCTATAAAGTCACAAGCAAATTCCTTTTTTCCCTTCCTGATAGAGATGCAAGTAAACACCTCAGAATTTCTGCTGCTGTTATCTCTTCGATTAAAAAACATAAAATAAAATTTTAAAAAGTCTAAAAGCTAGTGGACTCCTTTTTTTAAGAACTGAAATTACTACCAAAGAGTCTGAATACTACCTTTAGCAGGTGGGCAATAAAAGCAAAACTGTCCTGCAGACAGAAGGAGTTCTTATCTCTCTATTTTGCTTTAGTGATTTCTCTTTTGGGTAGCCATGATTGCTGATAGGTACCTGCTAGTTCCTTACTTACATTCAGCTTCACATACAGATCATCAAACCCTACAGGTGTCGAAAAAAATACATGGCTCCCAGGGGGGAAAAAGCTATGCAAGAAAGTCTCAGTAGCTAGACATAATTTGAGAAATGCATCCATTTGAAACTTACCAAAGGGTCTGACCTAGACTTGTGTAGATGGGCACAATACCAACCAAATTCTTCCAGTTTCAGCTGGGAAATACCTGTCAGCCTGTCAGACAAGGAGTTCTGGACAAAGCCACACTTGAAAAGGCAAATCATCAATGCTACAAGGCCACAGTAATTCAGCAAGGGAGGGAATTTCTGCACAGGAATCTTCACTAATCCATGATGTATTTCAATCCTGCTGTTTTTCTTTCTTTTTTTCCCTGGGCTAACTTCATATCAGCCTTCAGATTCTGGGCAACCAGTCAACTGATCCCCTTGCTGCTCAATGAATTAAAAATCATCATAATAAAAAACCAAAAATCAGCATGCAGTAAGAACAGTGACCAGTTCTGGAAGGGGACAACTCCCACTTCTTCACCAAAAGAAGAAAAGGAACTGCTGCTCCCTGCACCCCAAACACACACGCGCACACAGAGGAGGTCAAGAGACTATTTTAAGAAACTGCCAAACTCATCCTTGAACCATGATCTTGATTTAGGACTTCAGTGCACCATTCTCAAATCAATGCGTGCAGCCAAGTTTTCCATGTCAGATGCTACCTTTGGAAAAAAAGTAAATTAAAAAAAAAAAAAAATCAAGAGACTTCTGCCCACTGGAAAACTTTCTACCAGATGCTAATGGGATAGCAAGCACTGATCCGAACCCTAGGAAACAGTAACATGCATCAGTAATCTGAGGTATCTTCCCATTTGTAGGTCTTACTGCTAAGATCAATTACATCCAGTAACTGTGCTGTATCCTTAAGGAATTATTGGGGAACGGTGAACCTGCCTGCAATAAATGAGCACCGGTGCATAACAAGCACATGTGAACGCTACAGCAAGGTTCACAGAGGGCTAACCCTGGTCAGTACTGAAGCGGGGGTTTACTTCTCAACCCCCTCTTAAAAAAAAGGGAAGGGAGGACAGAAAAAAATAAAGAAAAAGGAAAAAAGGAAAGATAGAAAACACAGGTCCCCCATCTACCTGCACAGAGCCAGGCAGACAAGCTCAGTTGGAGGTGGTGAAGGGCGCGGATGCGTTATTGGTACTGGTAGCGGTGGCACCGGTCACTGCGAAGCCCGTGGGAGGAGCTATGGAGCTGTGGCTGGGCTGCAGGTCCTTGGGGATGCCACTGTGGGAGCTCAGCTGGTGCCCGAAGGCTGCGCTGAACTGAGGGAGCTGTTGTTTAGGGGAGGTGGAGGCCATGAGTTCAGCGGAGGCAGGACCCATGCCACTAAAACTGGTCTGCGGTAACCCCGGAAGCACACTGGAGCTGTTGGGGGTCACAGTGGCGAAGGCAGGCTGTGTGGTCTCTGAGTGCGAGGTGGTAGGTGGTGTGGACAGGGAGGTGGACAGGAGGTGTCCATCTGCACCAAGAAGGTTGCTAAACGGAGAGGGGTCCCCAAGATTGACAGGAAGATTTCCCCAGTGAGTTCTGGGGTTGACCACCCCGCTAAGTGGCACATCCAGCTGAGTTGGGAGCAAGTGCTGTGCCATCATGGGCATCTCTGCTGAGAAGGTAGCTGCCAAGTTATCACCAGAAAAGGATGTGGTGTGAGGGGATGTGATATGGTCACTGTAGGGAGACGGCACATGCTCACTATCATAATGGCTTCCATGGGGTGAGGAGTGTGAATGGTCACTGCTGTATTGCTGTCGTGAGGTGATCAGGTCATCTGCCTTGCTCAGCAGCTGGGCAGGGTGGGGCCTCTGGGAGGCATGGCTGCCATCATGAAGTCCATGAAACTGTCCTGGGAAGGCTCTCTCCCCAAGGCCACTCTGGCTTATGAGAGTGGCAGAAGTAAGGCCGACGTTGGCTGGGGCTGAGAATTGCCCCTGGATCTGCCCTGCCAGGGGCGTAGGTGGGTTGGACAAGGTAGCAGAACGGAGCAAGTTCTCATCCAGCTCCAGACCGGAGAAATTATCATGTACTATACGCCCATTCAACAGCTCCCCCAGATCCGTGTTAACCTCTCGACTCAAGGACTGCATTCCTGGAGCTCCAGCACCTGTAGAGAACACCCCTATCCCTCTATCTGACAGCTCCTGAACTGGCACACCATCTGTCTGTGTAAGTACTCCAATGGTACTCAGGCACTCAAGAGAAGTTACAGCCTGTAGGGCCCGTTCCAGTTCTTCAGCCTCTTCTGTAGTCGGAAGGAGATCTCCATTTTTACCTGCAGAAACAGGGACACCAGAAGTTAGCGCGCTCCTCTCAGGTGAGCCCGGCACTGGCACTCTAAGGATGCAGATGTACAGACAGTTCAGTACAGAGCTGCAGTGTATGATAACCTTCCAGAATGGCTTGCAGTACACAGAAAATTTCCTTCACCAGTGTTCACTAGGTACGCAAGGTAAGAAAAACGAGAAATTACACCTTCCTCGTCAATGGAATTCCTTCTCTCTGCCCTCCTCTTCCACATACTACAATACAAGATGCCTCCCAAACTCACTAGACTTAAAGTAAAAATGCTTAAATAAGATTTTCTTCAATGCTGCAATAACACAAATAGTCCACAAACTTCCTTCTACTTACCGCATTACAGCCTGGACCTAAAATTTACACAGTCAGTATAATTTAGGTTAATTTCAACTCAAACACAGACTGATGTCATGTCATACCAGAAAACGACCAAAGAAATCACATACCCCAATTCCGGGCTGTTCTCATTTCTTTGTTATCTGTGATAGGTACTGAGCTTTAGAATCCAGAAATTCAGGCAGAGTTCTGATCAAAAGCTAGTTTCAAAAATGTATTTAAAGATTTTATTCTCACTCTCTTCTCCTTTTATCAAAGGCCAACATTGATTGTGATTCCAGCCCCACTCGATGGCAGAAAGATGCCATTACTGAGAATACTCAGCGGCAACACTGACAGGCAGTAAAAATGTAAAATGAATTATTAAAATACTAAATCAATTAGGATTTTCAGAGCAGTAATTATGAGCAAGCAGAGAACTACACACATCAGTCTTCTTCAAGTCTGCTTTACTTCAGAGCTCACAAACAAATAATAGAGCAAATGCACGCTTCCTTGTCTAGAAGTTATTACCTCTGTAGGAAAGCAAGCAACCCCTCAAAATGCATTTCAGAAACACTCACTTCTTCAGTTCACTGACTGTGTTCATGTTAGCATAAAATAAAATAAAATGGTACCTTCAAAGAAATCAAAATCTTGCAAGTCATCGGGCAGCCGTGGCAGGACATCAGAGAAGTCCTCCTGATTCAATTCCAAGTCATGTGGAATGTCTGTGATTTCGTTGGCGATATCATCAGGCAGCTCATCAGCACTCAGCTCAGGTGTGGAGGGGCTCCTGGACAGAAAGTACCGTTAGTCCACGGTATCCAACTCCGATTCCTCCAAACAACAACTATGAATGCATATCCATATGGGTGTTTCCCCACACCTTTTTTTTCTTCCCCCATCATCTAGGAAAAAAATGCTTTTAGAAAGTTTCTTTAGAAAGCTTACACTTAGCCTATTGATTAAATACATAAGATGGGCATGAGGAGCAAGACATTTTATCCATCAAACTCAATAACTGGTCAAATCTAAAATAACCCACTCTAAGGTTTTTTTTCAACAGTCACATGGAGATGCAATTTCTAGCCCCACTCCAGATGCTGATACGCACAGCAACGTCAAACCTTTCTACAGTGCTCATTGACAACATGCAAGCTAGCAGCGGGACAGGGCTACCACTGACCGTATGTGGGGCATCTCTACTGGCAGTGAGACACTGGTGGGCATGGTGAGGTTCCCTTGGGGCACTGCAGGAGGAATGGGTTTCTGAGGCCGGCGTGGGCCTCGCCTTCTCTTCTTCTTGTGTTTTTTGGTAAGCGCAGGTGGCTTCGTTTTTTTCCTGGGTTTCCTCTGCTGCTGGTGCTGAACTTTACGGGAGCTGTCCCCTCTCAAGAAATTGTCCTTTGGGAATAAAACAATAGCAATGGGAGCATATTAAGAACAAGTATTACCTTCCTTGCTTTTTTCCCCCCAGTCATTCCACAGACATTCACATGTAATAATGCAAGAGAGACTGCTAACTTACACCCAGGCAAGGTTACAAAAATTAAGCTGTTTCCTTCCTCATTGGTCCCAATGGCAAAAATCACACAGACCAAATTATGAAGTATGCTAAATAGGAGATCGTGCAGTATCACTTTAAAAATCATCATAGCAAACCCTAACTAAATCAGTGCAAAACTGTAACTTCTGGCAGCATTCCTGTAAGTATTAAAGAGAGAACACTGTTGTGAGGTGGTAATAATGGGGACAGTGGGCAGCAGCTGAAGCCAGCATCCTCAAGTGCCCAGTGCTGTAAAAGAGGGACAGCACTGAGGAAACGGAATTAATACGCCTAATGCCTTGAAGGAAGGGCAAGACAGAAGTGGGTTTGTGAATTATCCTAAAAGTTTTGTTCTGGAAGATGGGAGGCATAAAAGGAGAGCAGAGGACATCATCTTAATTTCTGTATTCTCTCAACTTGTAGTAGGCCACTGCTTTTCCTCTGGGATCCACGGATCCCTGAAGGAGGTTAAAGATAAATTCTAATAGTCAGCAAAATGTAAATAAAGTAGCAAAACCATTATTTGTATGCTTGTAATTGCTGTCTACACTTCCGCTAGAAAATATTTTGGGCCCCATGTACTGAGACTGTTTGAGATGCAGTGTTCTTACCATACCACATTCATACTATATTCAGATCCAAGGGCCAGGAGTAAGCCCAAATAAAATGACCACAGGATCTCCCACAATGATTTTCTATTTCTTGATTTAAGAGAGGAATCAAATTTTCTTCCAGTGAAGGATATTCTCATGCACACTTTATTATATATTCAAAAGTACGTAAAAGATTTTCACAACATACTTTATACTAATTGGGAATGTTTGGCATGTTTTACCTCCTTAAGAAAAATACAAGGAAACGAGCTCTTAAGTCCATAAACTTGCTAGTTGTCAAGCAAGAGTTCATAGAAAGACTGGGGCTGAAAACTCCTGATCATCCTAATACACAAATAATTACAGTTTTGGCTTTGTACTTACCATTTTTTTGGCATGTTCTTCGCACAGAGGTGTCTGATGTGTAATGTCAAAAACTGGCACAGAGCACTGTTGACCATCCGCAAACTTGGCTGTGCAACTTGAGAAGAGCTGCTGAGAACGGTTCAATAAGATATCTGTGCATTTCTGCATCAGGAATAACACATGAGGCAACAATGGAGGAATGCCCTTTGATTTATCAAACTGATGAAGATCAGAGCCTTCAACTCTACCTGTCCATAGATGCTAGTTTTAATGAGTACCTTAACTTTGTTATTCAAGTTCAAAGCTGGGTAAGGCTCAAACCCAACTTTTAAAGTGAAAAACTGCATTCATGCAGAATCTCTAATGATTTTATTATATATTGAGATAGTTTTATGGAAGCAGCCATTTCACTAATGAGTTCTTAGCAAAAAGAAGCCTTTTCCTGGAGTCTTAATCAATAGATCAATAGTAGCAGTTGGAACAGTGTAGTCAACAGGACTATTTCCTTACAGACTAATGACAATCCATACTGAAACATTAAAGAAAGAGTATTTCTTAATTCAATCTTTTAAGGTACATTCTTGGCATTTATCTTAGAGCACAGACAAAGAAGTTTCAAGATCCTTCCTGCTCCTCTGAAAAAAAGATGTGCAATCAGACAGAAAGGTCAAGTAAATCCAAACGTAAGCTTGCTGAGATTTCCTTCAGAAAAATCCCCTGCAGGAGTGAAAACGTTTCCAGACTTAGAGCAAATCAAACAGATATTTCACTGTGTTTTTTCAAACAACATTAGAAGCACTCCTTCCATCTTGAACAGTTCTCAGACCTCAACATCACTATGTATGTTCAGAAAATGTGAAAACACAAAAGAAAGGACAAAGAAAACGAAAAACCTGCAGAACAGTCCAGATGGCAAACTTGGACGGATGGGTCAGAACCAAGAGCCTGCTCATTTTAGGAGAGACTGTTTCCCTTGAGAAGAAAGTGCAGAGGGAAAAAATAGGCACAAATGCAAAATCACTAGTCTTGACTTCTCTGCTCTACGCACAACAACAAGCAAGATCACTTAAACTTTAAAAAAGTAAAAAATAAAAGAATCATGAGGCAAATCCCAAACACAGCTGCACACCATGATGCTCTCTCATAGAGAGGTTTTGAACTGCTCTGCAGACTACTTTTAAGGGGCCTGTAAAAATCAACCAAGAAAAACAAGGCATCTGCAAACCAAAAAGATTGAAAAGGTGCTGCAGTCTGGAACAGACCAGCACTAGTTAGTTAAAATACCAAAACCAAGAGTTCGAACAAAAGGAGTCACTCCAACAAAAGCGCCAACAATTCTTCAGCTAAAACCAAAAAAGACAAAGTCTGCAGAATTCTTAAGTATTCCAGGTCAGAAGTCTGCCTGTTTATAGCCTTCAGAATCAAACCTCACATCTAATGTGCTCCCTCCTTTCTGCAACCTTCATGCATTGACTCTTAACATCCTTTTCAGGCTTTGCTTGACAATCCCCAGCATCGGAAATTCTTCCTCATCTAGAATTTGGATTCTGTGAATCCTTCTATTCTGCTTCTTTAAACAATGCAAAGTATCAGATTTCCATCTTTCTAGTCAGTGTAAGCCGTCTTTTTATACTATGTGTAAAAACTTGTTCCCATAAACCCTTCATAGGTAGTTAGTCTACCTACCAAGAACTGTATGAAAGCCATGAGGCTGAAAGCCATGTAGTTTCTACCAAGTCATCTGTGAAAGATGATCATCTTTGTAAAGGCTTCTTGCACCTACTAAATACAGCTTACAAAGTAAAACAATGTGACTACGATAGATACCAGTGGCAAACTACTTATCTTCACTGTCTATACATCCAAATCACACAGACAAATTAAAAGCAAAGTAGTTGATAAGACACTAACAAACAGGTATTTCTTTGTGAAAACATAATTTGTCAATGCAAAAACCCAACAAACAAACAAAACCCCTTAAAACAGAACAGCTTCCACGCCTGAATGCCACTCCCAAACAGAGTTAAGAGGATACGCTGAAAACAATGCCTGGTGAATGGAAGGGCCTTGTTAGTGCACTGTTCTCCCTTCGAAGTCCCACTACAGGTTGTTGGTTCTGCATCTCCCTGACTCGCTTGGCTTGTGCTGAAAAAAAGGCAGAAAAGAGTTTAGAGACAAAAACCTAGTCTCAGGTGGTTACTTAGCACAACTATTGCACTGAATGTGGCACAGGAGGATGAAAAATTATAACACACGTGTGTGTGTCATGATCCAGACGGGTGCACACTACTACCAGACTCTACACAGGGATACAGAATAGATGTCAATGACAGGTGAAGGTGTGACTGCAGTAACAGGATTATTGTTTATTTCACAGGGCCTTAATTGTAACGAGAGGTGCTGTGTGCTACTACCATGTAAATATTACCACACCCTGCAACAGAGCCAAGGACAGCAGTAGGTGAGTGTCAACACAGGTGACCCTTAAAATGAGGTCAATCTTTAGAATACAATGTATTGGGTATGCCTACATGGGCAGTCAAGTGCACTTCCAAGCCTGTCCGTAAATCAAAACATGCCGAGCATCCCCAGAGCTTACATGCAAGCACGTGCTCAGACAAACTTAGACTGAGCTCTGGAGTGGCAGAGCCTGAGCGTGCTCAACATGAGTAAAAGCTCTCCTTCATCAACGTGCTACAGCCCAATCCACCAGCAGGTGCCCGGAGCTGAGCGCTTCCTCAGCACAGCCTCAATGCTTTGAGCCTGAGCTGCAAGCAGGCGACCAGACAGCAGTGTGGATGAGTACTGCAAGCGTTACACAGCTCGCTCGGTGTTAGCCTGCTCTCAAGGCATTTGTCACCTTCATGTAGATAAAGCTGGCGATTCCAGGGCTGAATTTCACCTCTGTACACGTTGTTTTCTAGGTTGACAAAAAGCTGTCTGTAACCTGACTGTTTTCCTTCGGCCATTTCTGTCATCAACTGCACTTTGACTGAGCAAAGTTTTAGTTAGCAATATTACTCCTGTGAAAAATTTCGTAACTGAAAAGACTCTGTGTTTATTTAAATTAACCAGAGCAGTGATGACAGGCATACCTGGCTTTGCCAGTCTACCCAAAACAATGTCACCTTTTTTGCGTAATAAAAGGCAAAAATAATGGAAAAAAGTTTAAGTTTGGAGACATTTACACAACTTTGTAAGCTAGTAATGTACCTCCACATTACACCTCTGAGCAGCTATTCAGCATCACTCCACCTCCCCAGCAATAAACCCTCTAACTGTCATGAACCACAGCCCACTGTCCAGGAACAAAAGCATCTCATAACCAGAATATATTCTCAGTACCCTGCTCCAGCCTGCCTCTCATGTTAGCCCCCCCTACCCCCTACAGTCACACATCCTGTAAAGCAAAACCACAACAGCAAAAGGATGCTGCTGGTACCCCAGACACAACGCCAGGGTTCAGACTTACTCTGTTTCTGCACAAATATGAATCAACCAACCCTCAATACACTGAGAGCTGGAGGGATGTTGACATTATCTAGAAAGAATTCCCACAGAAGGTAACCTTCAGAGTTGTTAGAAGATATTTATTTTGTTGCCAAGTTTCATTTAATGTTAGATTGAGTTAAATCTAACAAAAAGCGTGAGCTTAAGTTTGATTTGCTGGGAAGAGAATTAAGAGGAGGTACAGACTTTTCAAAAAAAGCTGTCTGAAAAACGAAATCTGAATTGCAGCAGTGAACTACAGACCAGACTGCACACCTTCTGAAGAACTGGGCTTAGTAAAGTACCAGATATTTGAAGGCAGCCAAAATACATAGATTAATTAATAAGAATAAATTTTAGCAGGCCACTAACTTCTTTTGTGACATTTAAGAAATCAGGCCCAGATACTGCTGAACAAACAATCCACATTTTAAAACACAAAGCTGGAGAATGCCTGTCATCATGGAAAACACTGTATGCCATGTTTATTTTACTCCACTGACAGGCATTTATGTGTCATGGTTTTTCTGCCTTGTGCATGCCTACCAGTTTCAGAGTTCAGCATTTCAGCTGCTGGATACTCTGCCCATCTCCACCCTGTTCAGACCCCAGGTTACTGCAGTCACGAAGGTCTAACCTGGTACGAGCACGCGTAGCTCTTCGGAGTTCTTGTATCAGTTGCCCAGCACGCTCCGGCTCTCTGCTGGCCGCCTGCAGCAAGGCTTTCCGGAGTGTATGCCGGCATTTCTTCTGACGAGATTCTGCCCGCTCCAGGCGGCAGAGGTGCTTGTATTTCTGCTGAAAGTAAGTGCAAAGTCTGGTCACCCTGGAACTCCTGTCATCTGCATTGTCATCATCGGACCTGAAGGAGGGAAAATAAAAACAAATGGGCCTTCAGTATTTTTTTTTCCAAGGAAGCTAATTTGTCATTTTAATAGAATTGTTAAGTTGGCATCCATCTTCTAGCCCCACAAACATCCAAAGGCTGAAATCAGGCAGGGTTGTTTGAGAAACGGTAAGAGCAGGATCCCTTTTGAATTCTAAAGATACTTACCCTTCTTAGTATGTCATTATTAGAGATTACATCAATTTATCATCAAGTCTGACACATTTAAATGTCTGGAGCCTGCTGTTCAAAAAAAAATCTATACTGTTAACCTTTATTTACTGTAAATGTCTCAGCAAATGAGACAAACTCTTAAATCAAAGTGCAATTAATGGAGAGGACAAGGGTGGGGAACTATGTAGCAGAAATTTATTGAAGAAAGGTCATGCTGGAGAAGATGGTCAAATTCTAACAAGTACCAAAACTGATGACCTTTTCCAATTCCTCTTACTCTGCCAGGTGGTGTTTTCCTTCCTAAACCAAAATATACACTCACACAGCTAGCAGTTGATATTGCTTTCCCCTTGCTACAGAGTTAAAGTTGAGTTACAGTACAGCCATGGAGAAGTAATTCACATTTAACTCCAAAGGTACTGAGGGAAAAATCAGACCAGGGCTAAACTGACCAGATGAAGGACTGATCCGATTCTTTGCCTTTTCCCATTTATCTTGCCTTTCTGAATGTCCAGGCACATATCAACAAGACAATCAAACCATGTCAACACATTCAGTTAAATGAAGTAAAGATCATGAAACATAATAAAATCATCACTGGGACTTGTTAAAACAACAAGGTCCATGAAGCTACCCACAAGTCCTCCACAACAAGCACTACTTTGCAGAATGATTTTTTTGTTCATGGAGCAACAAAGAGCGTGCAAAGCAGACTTTGCACTTTGTTCAGTTTTTCCTTTAAGTTTTTCCTTATAGAACAGAGAAACTTTTTGCCAACTTTCCTATCTGTAAAACAAAGGAAGGGTAGGGGGAAGAAAACAAGTCCAAACAAATGAAGCAAATCAAAAGCTCCCAAGGTTCAGACTGCAGAGCTCGGCCAGTGAGATTGAATGAGCTGACACCCAAACCTGTGCACAGCAAAGCGGACCACAACTAGCTGATGATAGAAGAGATGCAAAATACCCACCATGATATTTACTAAATAAATTAAGATCCAGAAATGCAGGCAGAATAGCTGTCCCTGAAAGGCAATATGACTAAGACGTACTTTCCTTTCTGGAAAATCTTATTCCATTCACACGCAGGCTAAATTTAAGAGACTGCATCCATCTCCACTAAGGCTGCCCACAAAAACTCTGCAGGAGCAAACACTGCCTTGATACAAATGCACATTTTTATAAAGTTTTATGTAAAGTTAACCACACTATGTATTTTGTTTGTTAAAACAGATTACAGATTATTTTCTAGAAGCATAAATTACAAGTAATTAACCTCTGCAATTAAATGCTTAGCAAATACAACCTGTTAAAAATATTTAACATCTGTAATGTTTAAAATATTTTCACATTGAAGATGAAAAGAAAATACATTTTTAAGATCTCTTAGGAAAGAATGCCTACTGGGAAAACCAGTTTAGAAAAATTTAATTGTATGCTATTTAATATAGATTTTCCTTTTTCCAATGTATTAATAGAAAACAGGAATACATGAATGGGATCAGTTAGATATAGGTAGGTCTAAGGTCTTAGATGTTTCATTACTGCTCTGGGACAAGTTTTTTAAACAAAGTTACAGACATACTGATTTGATTTTAAATATAGTTACAAATTAACTTTAAGAAAAGACAGGAATATTCCTTAGGGGAAAAAATTGTTTCTTTTGGGTG